CCACAACCCACTCAGCAAGCCCCGGGCATTTGCGTAGCTTGGGCCCACTTAAACTTGTAGCGTGGCTAAGTGTAAAATAATGATTTTTCGCTTGGCATGGCATGTCAATTGGCGTGCTCGAATTTTATTGCCTTTGAAAAGGGATATGATGTTCGATAGGATAATTAGCATGGGCTCGTAGAGCCAGTGCATTTTATAGGCTATAGCATGGTGGATTGCATACTTATTTGGCATGGCACGTGGTCGTGGCTCGTGCAAGTGTGCATGGAGAATTTTGCGTGCTCCGAATCGGGTCTTTTCTTAATAAGATGTCGCACTGGGCCAGGAATTTATTTGGGCCTCAACACTTTCAAATTTATTGTGTGCTGCTATGAAAGTTCCTCTTTCAATGTTTTCTTTTCTTTTATTAAAGTAATCATTTGCTCTCTTTCTTTGGTACCTTTGGTGAGCTGCTTCCATGTTCTCCTGTCTACCAAAGTCTTGTTCCCAGACCAACACTTGGGAACCCATCTCCAATACCTTGTCATCCACCCAAAACAAAAAATTTCCAGGCCCTTGTGTTTTGCAGGCGTTCAATTCACTGGTACAGCGAGGAGCAGACCAACCTATACTTCAATGTAGAGAAGGAGTGCTTCAACCCAATTAATGGCCATGCCTCAGTTTTTGTCAACCCTTACGATATCTCTTATTTTGGGCGGTCTGGAGGCCATCTCCGTATAGACACAACCTCTAGACAACAGCAGAACTGGATGTGTTGGAATCGGAGGAAGATTACTTTGAATGGTCAGCATCGATTCTGACGGTTTAGGAGTACCCATTACTTTCTTGTCGGAAAAAGAGTACCCATTACATGGTAGGTATTTTGCTTGATAGAGTTGTATTGCCAGCAGCCGTTGGTTTTTGGGTTCAAATTTGATTGTTATTTGAGCAGAAGGGAACAAGGAGACTGAGAAAGGTCATGCATAAATGAGGATCCAGGAATTCAGATAAACCAAACTGGATAAAGTATTTAAAAAGACAGAAGTTTACCATTGACCATGCAGTATTCGTAACAGACAAATACAATTCAACAAGGCAAATTCGGGTAGTATTACGTTCCATAGATCAACAAAGAAAAGGAAATACTTCCCCTCTACCAGGAAAGGGAAATTTGTGGTCCCATAGGGAACGTTCTATCACTAGTCCCACAGTTATTGTCAAACATTCTTGGATAAGTCATAGAAACTTCCTGTATGGTCTGCCTGCATCCTCGTCTTGCATGTGCTGTCACCATAGATAACAAACTGTTAGAATCCCAATCAATTAATTGCAAGACAGGAATGGCTAAATTGTTTGAGTGGTGAGTGTGTACACACACTCGAGCATCAGCATCCAAATTATATGACAAGGAAAAAGAAAGAAGAAAAAGCGTAAAACAAATAGCCCGTAGTCAGAAAATTTACGGAGAACTAAAAAGGCAGAGATGCATATGAATGACTAATCAACAATAAAATCCAGGCAAATACCAGGGATAGTTACACAGATTAGTGCCTATGATTTAATCTTATCTTATACTATTAATTTTTAGTATTTGAATGTATCAGACTGCTTTGAAACTTTACCCTTCCATCTATTCATCTTTTTCATAAGTACAACTGAATTTGTAAATATGGAAAATCAGAAGGCTGCAACAATGAATAGACAGTGGAACAACGTACGCAATGAGAATAGATATCACTAGGCTGAGGGAGATAAGGAAGTTGGACGCAGGACATGAATTTGCAACAGAACAGATATCAGTAATTTGGCAACTCATTACCAATTAACAAACCAGAACAAAAAAGAAATCCATCTCAACACACCAGTGTTTCAAAGGGACAACTGCTTCACAAGAGCCGATACTAATAAGTAGTAGCAACCAGACCTTTTAATATAAGATGGCAACTGACAAGAAATAGAAAAACCATGAAACTAACAAAGATCAGCTCAAAGGAATTTACTTCCCCCCACCCCTTTTTAAAGGAAAAAAAAGGGAAAAAAAAAAAGAAGAAGAAGAATATTTCACCATGACATTTGGTTAAGGCCTTAAACCCCTGTTCCTACGAGAATATGTACTCCCATAGAGAACCCTTTTCGATTATCTATGTTGATTTCTTACAAAGACTCCAGTGGAAGAAAAACATTAGAGGCATTCTACCAACAGATGCACAAGAGATTTAAAAACCCAAATGAATGCTCTAGAAACTCTGACACTGCAGCCCTCCAATCTCACTGAGTCAGCACGGAACTCAAATCATATTTCCTTCTAATTTTACTAGGCAATTAGGCTTTTCAGTATATATTTAACTCCTACTTCAAACCCTATCATAAATTGAAGCAAAATTTTATGACAGCATGGAATTTGATAAAAGCCCTACAAAGTGCCAAAAGAATTTAGCACAAATGCTTCACAAATGATGATTCTACACTATTTCTAGACGAAAGTATAAACAAGAAATGCCTTTTATTTCACAGACTTGTGCCTAGGATTTAAGATTAATCTTATCTTATACTATTAATTTTTAGTATTTGAATGCAACAGACTACTTTGAACCTTTACCCTTCCATCTATTCATCTTTGTCATAAGTACAATTGAATTTGTAAACATGGAAAATCAGAAAGCTCCAACAATGAATAGACAGTGGAACAATGTATGCAATGAGAATAGATACCACTAGGCCAAGGGAGATAAAGAAGTTGGACAAAGGACATGACTTTGCAACAAAACTGATATCAGGAATTTTCCAACTGGTTACCAATGAACAAATTAGAACCAAAAAAAAAAAGTATTTCATGACACCAACGTGGCAAAAGGGCAACTGCTTCACAAGAGCTGATACTAGCAAGTAGTAGCAACCATACCCTTTAATATAAAGAGGATTAGGGTTTAGTTACTTCCCCCCTACCCCTCTAACTAAAAAAAAAGATGATTTTAACATGACATTTGATTAAGGCCTTAAAGCCCAGTTCCTACCGAAATATTTACTCCCGTACAGAGACCTATTTGACAATCTACTTAATTACTTGCAAAGACTCCAGCGGAAGAAAAATATTAGAGGCATTCCTCCAACAGAATGTACAGGGGAATTGAAAACCCAAAGAAATGCTCTAGAAACTCAGAACATTGCAGCTTTCAAATCTAAGTGAGTGAGCATGGGACTCAATCATGTTTCCTTATGATTTCACTAGGCAATAAGGCTTTTCAGTACACATTTAACTCCTCCTACAAAGCCTACCAAAAATTGAAGCCAAATGTTATGACAGAGTGGTAAAACCCCCAAAAAGTGCCAAAACATTTTAGCACAAACGCTTCACAAATGATGATTCTACACTTTCTACAACCCCAAACAAGAAATGCCTTTTATTTCCCAAAATATAGTTTGGGTCCAAACCCAAATGTTTAAACATCATAATTTGAGAAAATTGATTTCCTAAAAGTCAAACAATCACTAAAACAAAAAAAGAGCTGAGGCTAGCTGTTGAGGAACCAAACCAAATTCGATAACCAGAAATCGAATTAAGAGAAAGATCTTGAAGCATATTACGATCGATTTGGCAATTACAAACGGATCCACAGATTAATTTCCAAAACGAAAAAAAAATGAGAGAGAGAAAGTTACGAAATCTCTGACGATGCCCTTGTAGACCAAGATAGGGATGGCGATGCCGAAAATGCCAACAAGGGCAAAGTTGCGGCGAGTCCAGCGGAAGTTGTGCTCGAGATTTTCTCTGGCTGAGCCCCACTCCTCTATGAACTTGTTCTTGTTTGCTTCCATTCCTCCCCCCATTTTTGCTTCTCCCTCTCTCTCTTTCTCAGTCTCTCTTTCTTCTAATTTAGCTTTCCTTTCAATTGAAATGCTCAGCTATGCGGATGTCCATCTATCCACCGTTTGGCTGCGTCGATAACCCAATTCCTACACCTCAGCTTTTTCTTTTCTTTTCTTTTTTCCTGAAAGTAATTTACTAAAATAATATTTTTTTTCTTTGTACCAATAACATAACATGAGCTTCTATTTGTACCATCTTTAGTAACTACCAACTTCCCTCAAAGATTTCAGTGAATTTGACTGAAAAACATAATATATAAAAATTACATCACTTTTCCTTTTCTATTACAAAAACATATAAAGAAAAAATTTCGGCTAAAAAGTAAAACACAAAAAAAATATTCATTTGGAAATTACGCGACTTGGGCCTCATCTATGGTTGTGGTTCCATGGCCCTTGACAAATATATAGCCTATATAAGGGCATAAAGTCCGTCGTTTATGATTTGGGTTTGCAATTTGATTTAGTTTGAGCTAAATTAAGTGAGAAATTAAACGAAACGGAAGGAGATTTTTTAGATTATGGTATGACATAATGCTAAATTAGCTACTTGTGGCATATATGGGTTAGGTCAATTGGTTAGATCGGTGAGTTTGCCCCCTTGCATCATAGTTTTGCTTATATGACGCTAAATCCATCACATGTGGATGTAGAGATGCCATATGGACCAAAAATAAGAAGTTTTTTTAATAAAGAAAATCTTAATGCTCATAAGCACTTTCATAAAAGCATTTTTATTATGAAGACGATGAAATTTTCATAAGAAATCCAAGTGCTTCCTAAGAAGCACATAGCAAATGCTTCTCCAGAAATCGCTTCCACAACCTAAAATCACTTTTAACATTTTATGCCATAAGCGTTTTTGGTTTTCAGAAAATGCTTTTAACCCTCCCATAAGCACTCCCAAACAAACCCAATTTGGCATCACTATAATTTGACGGACACACGAATCAATGGTTTTACAATTTGTAATTTTAAGCATCGTCTTTCTCAAGCTTTTAAATGACAACAAAAACGTGATTCTTTTTTCTTTTTTCTTTAAAAAAACCTATTACAAAATTTAGACATTTATTTAGAGGATAAAAATTAGAATAGAAGTTTGTGGAGGACAAGAAACAAACGACGGCTATGATGGACGCTATATAATAAGCACACGACGCGTCACATTAACGACACTTCATAGCCCCAACCTCCGAGGAAACAAAAACCTTATAATTAGGGTTTGAGAGAGGCGAGCAAGCACAGACTACAGACGAAAATTTCAATGGCGTCGAAGGTTACTCTGAAGAGCAAGGGCAAAACGACGAATAAGGGCTCCAAAGGCTCTGATGAGCGCTCGGTGGCCCAGTCCGTGAAGGAGTGGAGCACGTGGGCCATGAAGAAGGCCAAGGTCGTCACCCACTACGGCTTCATTCCCCTGATCATCGTCATCGGCATGAACTCGGAGCCTAAGCCACAGCTTTCTCAGCTTCTTAGCCCCGTCTGATCTGATCGGTTTGGATCTTTCAAATTCCAATATGGGTTTTTGGTATTATCTCTAGTGGGTTATGGTTCGGTGCCTATTTGTCGAATCTACATCTTATGGTTCAGGTTACTGTTTAGGGTTTTGTTCTACATGTTACGGAGGTATTAGCTTTAGTAATTGGGTGTAAGGAATTTTATGTATGCTTTTGCTTAAACTGACGAATGGGCACTTTTCAATGAGGATTTTGCCTTTGTAGTTGAATTTATTGAATATATAAGAATTTGGGCTTTGTGCTTCCAAATAATCTTATTAGATTTTAAATTTATGTCTTACTATTCATGCTTGGCTTCTTAATTCTCTGTTATTTGATATTCTTTTGTAGCAATTTGACTGCTTACTTGTAAGATTCTATGATGTCTCCTGTTGTCTCCCTTACAATTTGTCTGCTTGCATTTGTTGGTTTGTTATTTGATTCTGGGGTACCAAATATTTTGTTTTCTGTTAGTAATTTGTCTTCAGGTTCATGAATGAACAATTTGAGACCTAGAATACGAGTGTGATTCTTCATTCTATTTTCTAAGAATTCATATGCATATGAACTCTCAGAAAACAATAATGTTGTCTATCAACTTAGACTTTTCCCATTTATGATCAGAAAAGTAGTTGTTGCGGTTGCAGTTCTATATATGTTGATGTTCTTGTAGCCCATTTTGGTGCTATAAGCCTTGTAGAATTATATCTTGATAGCCAATATGAGGCATTGAGGATGTTATTATTACAGTACAAAAAATTTCTTAAGTGTCCTGTTTATTACAATTTTTGGACAAAACCATAGAATCCTCTGTTTGGCGTGATTCAGAGGGATCCTTCCTTAGTCCTGCCATTAGGCTAACCTTATTTGGTTCCACAAATGAAATTTTTACAAGTGAAACCAAAGGGACTTTGGTCAGATTTTATTTTATTTTAAAAAAATTTGGCTGTCCTTTTGATAGCTGTCTTGTATTGTAATATGATATGAAGATTAGTTCATTTCAAACAAGAAATATGTCCGGTTTATTCTGCCTCTCAATAGATTGGAGTCTGCTCTGTTATGGTGCATTTTCTGTTTTCAGTTTTGGTTGGCAATCTTTATTTCTACTGTTTAGTTTTTACAATGCATGTGATCATAAAGCAATGCATGCTTGTAAACTTGAACTTTGCAGAAAGCAATTGCTCAAATGTTTTAATAACTGAGAAGTGTGATACAGTATATGTTTATGTTGCATCAGTTTGTTCAAATTTGATTGCTCACGTGTATGTTTGTAAACAATAACAGTGTCTGAACTATAGAAGGTGAAACCTGCGCTGCTAATAATTCTATTGCTGCTTGTAAATTCATTCAGATGAATGATATCATCTCCTGTCTGCATCTGATCACTATATATTTACCCCTATGTTTATTGATGTTTCTGAGCTTCATCGTATAACCATACCTTAATTGCTCATTTCATACTAGTTTTTGGAAATTTGTGTGAGTGTACTGCTTGTTCCTCATTCCTGCGCATAAACAAACACTTCACATATTTGTACATGAACTCCAGTTTTATTAGTCCCATTTTCTTAGAATATGTGACTTAGTGATGCAAGATAAAGGATTTAATGATCCCCAGGGAAGATTCTAGTCAGAGTCTAAGAGTCTGTTTTAGTTTGGTTTCTCTTCAGAATGCATTCTTTAACTACTCTCTGCGAAGGACTCCGTCCAGTATTTATTTCCATCACTTAGCAATTGGAATGGAATTCTATTGTAATAGTTGACAGTTGTGCTGTGTTTGTAAGGTGTGATTTTCTCTAGCCTACGAGACTAATGTTGTAGTTGTAGTAATTTTTGGTCAATAGATGGCAGCAGCACCTTTCTTGAATGTCTAGATATTCAAGAAATTTTGCCTTCTCATTTTCCTATTTAAAGTATTTGTTAAGTTTGATACCCAGCTCATGTCCTATCTACGGTTATGGTTTCACCTCACTGATGGATTGATGCTTTGGCTGCTGAATTTGGTTTTGCTTACATCTTCGTATTGCTTTTTTTCTTTCTCTATATCTTGTGCAAGTTGTTGAATTCACATGTTAACATTGGAGTATTTAGTGTTTGGCCTTAGTCATATAGGTCAAAGTTCGTCGGGATACAAAAATTTTGCCGGAGTAGGTCTATCGCAACAAAATTATGAGATGTCTAGGTTAGGTCCAGTTATGTAGACCTTATCTATGATTATTAAATATTAATCTGTAGCAAAATTCTATAGTGAGGGTGTCATATAATCCAAGCCCAATCAAAAGGTGAGGCCCATCTTCCATATAGCACTTGTGGGAAGACTCCCACTTAGAGCACTTCCATCTATTCTCTTTTGACATGGTGGCAAAAAGGGGCCTAGGCTCCAAAAACAACCTACACTAAGGACAAATTGTTATTGCAAGAAGTGGTTATTGATCCCCATATAAATTTGGTTCATATTCTTCCTCTCATGATATATAAATATTTAAATAGTATAGCCGCGCGGCTATACATTTAAATTATATTAATATTTAACGAGTATTGCCAAGCGGCCATACTTGTTAAATATTCGAATATTTTAACTATATAGCCGTCCGGCTATACGTTTAAAATAAATTAATATTTAAAAAGTATATATACCAATATTTAAATAGTATAGCCGCGCGGCTATACTACAAAATGGTTTTTACTTATAGCCTTTTTAAATTACTTTAATTAGTAATTATGTTTTAATTATTATTTCTTTAAAGAATAATTTGTATTTAAATATTTTGCTAATTTCGTAAATTACATAATAAATAGTAATTAATTATTTTAAATTATTTTGTGAACTTTTTTTTATATATACAAAATTAGTTTGTTTAGTTTAATATTTACACTTAAGTAATACCTTACCCTTATTTAATTATATTAATTATTATTTATGTTTTAATAAATAATTAGTGTTTAAGTATTTTAATTATTTTAATAACTTACTTAAATAATTGTGTACACTTTAAAATTATTTTTTATTTTTGAATATATTTTAAAAATAAGTTCAATTATTAGAAAATTATTTTAGTGTTCCAAAAATAGATTTGAGCCTCCCAACCCTAAATCCAAGTCTCAAACCTTTCTCAAGCCTCGAACCCTAACTATAACACTACTATAAGGCACTTATGACTCGATTAAGCTTGGATACTTCGATCTCAATATACGGTTACTACGACATAACCGGACCTAACTCTACTTAGTTTAGTGCGCCTTGAGGTATATTTTAACAAGTGGTTTGTTGTCGGAATCTTAACAAACAAGAAAGATCTATCGCTACATATATTTGATGGGACATGTCGGGGTTAGATTCAATTACGTCGTACTAATCCAAAACCCAGTCAATGATTATTATGTATATATAATCCAAGCTCAATCAAAAGGTGAGGCCCACCTTCCATATAGCACGTGTTGGAAGACTCCCACAGGAAGCCTTAGTGCTCTCACCATCTCACCTAGAGTTCATTAGGTTTCCGCTTCACCCCTTATTTCACCTTGTGTTGAATTCTTTGAACCTCCACCCTATGCAGTTAAATCCAAACTCATACTTATTTATAAGTGGTATGCTGGCAATTGGCCTCAAATGGGAGGTGTCACTAGGCTTCGTAGATTTCTTTTACCACCATTATGTTGCCACAGTCAAATATGAGATTGAGTATTTCTACCTAACCCTTCAGCCTACCCATAAGTTCTTTGGCTACAAACTGTCCTCTGCGAAAGATTGGAAGACCCGACCCTTGATGATTACCGGGAATTTGATGGCCCCTGAGATGTCTTGTATTTTTATTCCTTCATCGTTCGGCCCTGAACCTGGTATTCCTGATTATGACTACCCTACTGATATTGATTGTGATATGATTTTGCACAGGAAGCTTATTAAGTGGTTCCCTTGTTTTGCAGTGCACAACCTAACCCTTCTGAGATTGTCCTTGCTCATGAGCAAATTCAATGGCTGAACTGCCACTTGGTGCGTCAGGATTGGGATGTTCATTATTTTCTAGATCCCAACACACTTTATCATATCTCTCAGAATTGAGATAGCATCATCTACGGTCCTTATCTCGGGGTCAATCTTAGTGAGGGACTACACGAAGTAGACTTAGTGGGTCACATAGTCAGCTTCAATCTAGTCCTCCAATTTGAAGAAGATTCATCACATCATATTCAAAGAAGTTATGCAAAGAGACATGCTCAAGAGGAAGAAAAGAGTGGTGGTTACTCCTCGGACGAATCTGAGCTATCTAATATGTCAGGCCCATTACCAAACCCATCTAAGCATGCCTCCCGACCAGGTCCAGGGCAAAGACTATCCGTTGTTCAACAAACAAAAAGGCCCAGGTCTGCCCTAAATGCCGGATTCAATTCAAATCCTACGAATGTATCTGCTTCGGGTTCATCTCCAGGCCGATCCCATCGTGACTCGTCCAATCAGATCGACTCGCTAACCACTCACGCTTCGCTTGTGACCATTGAGGATATCAACCCCGACAATGAGCCCATAACTTTTGTTAACAGTGAAATATGAAGGTCCAAATTTCAAAGGCCAAATGGGAAGCGTCTTATGGCGAGTGAAGGGCTGCTGCATGATCCCGAGGCACGTGACGCTGTTTTAGGCAGTCTTCTTCATCCTTGTGATGTTAAGGAGCTGACGGAGATGGATGATAGAGATATTGCACTTCAACAGGCTCATCACTTAATCTCGGTATGTTTATCTTCACATTTCTCTTTCTCTTAGTTCAGCTTTGTTTAGCTTAACTAACTTATGCAAATGTCTTTTATATGGCTGAGCTTCGCTTGGTTGAGCTATCCAAGGCTCAAGGGCGTAAAGACGAGTTAGACAACTTGATCAAGTCAAACACTTAGGACAACGACTTAAGGCAAGTGAGATTGCATCGGCAAAAGAGAATGATGAGATTTCCCATCTTTTCGACAAAATCAATGCCTTCAGCTTTGAGCACAAGGACGCTTTACTGGAAATGGAGAAGCTGAAGAATGAAGTGGGATGTGTTGAAAAAGAGAAGAAATATCAGTATGATGCATGTTACGCTCAGATTTTCAAGAAGTCCGCCAAACAATTTCGGTTCAACTAGGTGCAGGGGCAGCAACCTGTCCACCATAGGGTTGTGGCCAATCCTAACACCTACAATGGAGAGATGGGAGTTGGTATCGCAAACTACGAGTCCTTTTTTTTTTTTTGCTTAGTCTGAAATACATGTGTTCTATTATTTAATCTCATCCAGCAG